TATATATATAGACACATTCTTCTATAGTTATTCATCTCTGGACTAAACCTGAATCTGACTAATTCAAAATAATAAAAAGAAAACTGCACTTTTCTGGACAACACAGAAAAAAGTAAATCGGATGTTTCTAGTGAAAGAAACGGATCAGCTGGGTCAATGTGCAAAATAATGACCTCTGTAAAACTAGTCAAGCTAAAGGTCACAGAGGTCACCTGAAAGCTCAGCTGGTCCCACCTAATGTCAAACACACATACACCAACCATCTGTTTATCATCAACACAGATAACCTTTTGACCCCAAAAGCTAAAGAAAACAAAAAACACCCAGAAACAGGATGGTCTAAAGAAAGAAAATACAGAAGCCTAAACAGGAGGGTTGTTTTCCTGATTAATTAGAATTTATATTAAAACCCGATTGTTAAAGGAAACCAGATCACACAGGCGCTTAAACGTACAGCAGAGGCCCCCTTAATAGGCCCTGAACATTTCCCATCCAGAAATCCCCCTGAGGAAATGATTAGTAGCCATATATCTAATTTCTCCTACACAAGCATCCCACCCTCCCTCCGATTTCTCGCTCTTATTCATCTTCTGCTCCTCAGTGATGAGGAATAATGTCAGACGTAATGGCAAACATTAATCAGGTCCCACAAAGCACACGCAGACATTTCAGCCCATCTGTCTTCAAACTGTCACTTCCTGTTTGTGAAAGACGAGTGGGGGGTGTGTCCTGTTGCCTCCTTTATGTTGTCCCATCTGGTTAGCGTTAATATTGACCAACATTCAGCACACATGCTAACAAATGCATTGATGGAGAACATCTTAATATGTCAGATTGGGTCTTTTCATGTGTCCTACCTCCAAAAACTGGGCGCTGACTTTAAAATCGGGCGGCTGGATGCCCGTCTCCTTGGCGCGCTGCCTCCTGCTCTGGATGCCCTCAAACAGCTGGTGAACAGCCCGTGGGATGATGCCCTGCTCCTGCTGGCTCAGGCTCACATCGAAACCCGTTCCCATGGTGTAGGTCTTCCCTGAGCCTGTCTGGAAGACATTTTTGTTGACAAAAAAATGAGAACACCCTTACAATTAAGATACGTAAATCAGTTTTTATATCTATGTATGAACAGGCAATGTCATCTTATTAAATTGCCATTAATTCAATTATATCTATTGAAGCTCTAAGACCTTAGCAGGCTATTTTATGAAGTCAAAGTTCTGCTATAAAAAAAGTGGAAATAATCGTGATAGCAGTTTTATTTAAAACACATTCACATTTGCTACTTCCGTCACACATTTTGAATGCTCTATGCATGCAAATTCAACACCACGAGGACCACAATATATCACAAGCATGGGCTCATGCTCCTTCACTCTTTATAATCGCCTGTAGATGCACTCCTATTCCGATGTCACCTTTGTCACTTTGAGGGTGGAACCAAGCTGAGGAAGTGAACTTTCTATGATTGGCTACTTTTCAGGAAATTCCACCTCTTGAAACAGTATCTGCTTTCCTCCTGGTTGTGACTTTAGCAAAGCATCTTCAGGCTAATAGCTGTTCTATAGACTTGCTTTTTTAAAGGTTTAGTGGAGGATGTTCTTTTTTCCGGGTGGATCATCAAAATAAGTGGTCTTCCTAATTGTCAATCATTCTGGCAGTGGCGGCCGGCCCATAGGGGGCGCTGGGGCACCGCCCTCCCTGATAAGAAGAGAGAAACGTAAAATATATTTTTAGAAATTAACCCATAAATGTCAGTTTTACTCTCTAGACTGTGTACCTATAAGCAAAACAAATTATATAAACTACATTTCCCTATCTACTGTCATTAATTTGTGGATTTCCACAGACAGACTCCTACCGTCTCTGTTCTGGGGGCTGTGATCAGACAGCCCCACATTTGCAGAGAATCTGTCAATCATGTACTATTGCTAGGTGAATTTAATGGCCAATCAGCGTCTCGGAACTTTATGGTATTGGGGCGCTGAAAATACTGCGCTTTAACAGGCTTCTGAACCCAAGCGCAGGTGCAGACAATTAGAGGGAAGATGGCGAATGTAACGAACGAGTCGCAGCTTCCACCAAATTCGGTGAGATCCTGATTTATCTACCAGAAGAACATCCCTGTTGTAGGATATGAACATTTCATGTCATGG